GAAATAGAACTTAACAGTGCCGCCCTCCAATCTCCTGCAGGTAGAGTTTTACGGCACTTGCAATACAATAAGGTCATATAGGTGCCGAAGATTGGAGATGTTACAAGAGAGTAACATACACAAAAGGAGGATAAGGATGATAGGTGTTTGATAGGAAAGGAGGAGGAGAGATAAGGACGGTAGATGTTTGATAGGAAAGAAGGAGGAGAGTCTGATAAGGACGGTAGATGTTTGATAGGAAAGAAGGAGGAGAGATAAGGACGGTAGACATTTGATAGGAAAGAAGGAGGAGAGATAAGGACGGTAGATGTTTGATAGGAAAGAAGTAGGAGAGATAAGGACGGTAGATGTTTGATAGGAAAGAAGGAGGAGAGATAAGGACTATAGATGTTTGATAGGAAAGAAGGAGGAGAGATAAGGACGATAGATGTTCGATAGGAAAGAAGGAGGAGAGATAAGGACGGTAGATATTTGATAGGAAAAAAAGAGAGATAAGGACGATTGATGTTTGATATGAAAGAAGGAGCAAACCACACCAGAGCACCCGCCCTCTGATGGAAATTCCTGCTCAACAAGGAACAAATCCATTTGACTCTGTTCAGAACAAGATAAACAGGAAGGAAGTAAAGGTTGCACCATGCCCACTCAACAACCAACAATGGTTCTTTGCCCCTCATTTGCACACCCATGGTGTGAACTACACCAGTGAAAGTGGGGTTTGTTTGTTTTTTAGTAAAAGTTTTACGGCGCTCGCAACTGCATAAGGTCATATGAGCGCCAGAAGATTAGAGCTGTTGCAAGAGAGTAACAAACATAAAAAAGAAGAAGGGGAGATTAGGACGATAGATGTTTGACAGGAAAGAAGAAGCAAACCACACCAGAGCACCCGTCAACCACCCGGTGAAGGTTTTCCTAGTTCATAGAAAGCAATGAGTGGACAACATGACAGTGCCTGGTACAGGATAATATAATTCAAGTCTACGATTTATCTGTCCTCGGGGTTCACCCCGCAGAATTTAGCAAAATTGGATCGGTGTTTGCATAATTTCTGATTATTTTCCTTTATCATTCTTTGTTAAAATTAACAGAATCGCATAATTTCACATTTTTGGGCTCAGTTTGCATAATTTCAGAATTTTTTTGGCATTAAAAAACCGCGAGGACAGATGTACGATAGTGTCAGGAAAAAAACTTTTAAAAAATAAACATATATATTTCCAACAACCGCATATATAGAGAGATACTATCCACAGGAAAAATTGCACATGTGCATTCACATTAAACAAATAGGTAGGCCTATATTTCAAACAAAACATTGTATGTACAGTGCAACACAGATCTAAGGTCGAACACAGAAGACTCGGAATCACGAATCTGTCGAGCTGTGCCTGCTGCCCCTTCATTTTTTACCTCTTTATCTTTTAAGACATCCGCCGAACTACAAAGGCCGGTCCCGACAAATTCGAGCCATCCGTGTCACACTGTAGTTCAAACATTATCATGTGCTGACCTTTAACAACACAATCATTCAGAAATCTAACCTCAAATGAAGAGGCAGTACATGTAACGCTCTAGCTACAGAAGAAAACTGTGTGAAAAAGCTTTTCCTACGTGTCACGACACGATGGAATCAAGCGCCTATTGGGCATAAGGGGGTCATTGGTATCATCTTAAAGCCTATTCATTTGTCTAGCTTTTGGTGTGTAAAAAAACCCCCAAAAAACGTCTATCATGAATAGAAGTAAGTCAAAAAGATATTTGCGACCGAAGGAGGGGGGTCACCTGGTATCACAGGTAAAAATAGCAAGAAAATGGTCACCAAAGTTCGGTGACTTCTAAAGCTCTAGTGTCCTTGGAAACTGCAATTTATATGTTTTCTGCATTTGCTCCACGGTTTTCAGTAAAATCCACACTGAACATGTATGTTTCTTCGATTTCATTATTTTGACGAGCGCCTGATTTCACCGCGATGACTCACGTCTATAGTTCAAACATGACGTAAATCATGTGCCTACCTTTAAGAACACAATCACTCAGAAATTTCACTTCAAATGAACAGGCAGTGTCAATCTAGCTACAGAAGAAACCTGTTTGAAAAAGTTTTTCATAAATCTCTTTCAAGACACTGACAATCATGGGATAAAAAGCAAAACGGAAAAAAAAATGGATAAATAAATAAATAGATGTAATAAAAACAAAACAAGCTAACCAAAACAATTTCCTCAAGACACACAATAACAAACAACGCCGTCACTTTTCTGACATCCTTAACAGAACAACAAGAGGATTCCAATCGCAAAAAGCATTAAACGCCAACTCTGGGCATTTCCAGAAAATATCCACTCCACAGTTTTACCATAAAATGTCATGAAAATAATTTTTTCCCTTCTTAAAATGCACTGCATCCATCAATATTTCGGGTGAGAAACTTGTGCTTCACTCACACATTTGTTTTCAGAGAATAATTCCTCTCCCGTCCCCCCCCC